AGGAATGCATTTCAATGCCTAGGATCTTACGTTGCACAGATTTAGAAATCAAAATGGTATGTCACGCTTTCAGAAAAAGAAAAAGAAAAAAAGAAAACTCTCAGTAATTTAAATGTTTCTGTCTGACCTGGGCTGAAAATATAACACCAGTTACAAAGCTGCATTGACACAGCGCAGCAGATGATCTGGGTTAACTTGACTTGAAGGAGCAAGACGTGGAACTACTACTTTACTAATATTCCCTTTGTTTCTTTGCCAGTCAAGAGAACAATCCGATGATGAAACAGAAGAGTCGGTGAAGTTTAAGAGGTTGCACAAGCTGGTGAATTCTACTCGCAGGGTCAGGAAGAAACTCATAAGAGTGGAAGAAATGAAAAAACCCAGCACAGAAGGTAAAAAGCAACATATGCATGTGGTTAAAACTGTGTGTATGAATACATGTTTCTGTTGAGAGGGGACAGAAAGTTGGACGGCTGGGGGAGAGAGGGGTGCAGTGTTCTTAAGGGATGGTAGGAAAGACTGCCTTGTCTATGGTGCATGCCTTACCCAAGTAATTGCATTCCGAGACTGTGGAGGGAGGAAAGTGACAGCCTGGGATGTGGTTACTGATGATCTCCTGGTATTCCCAGAGCAGTGCTGGAGAGCCCCTCTTTAAGAGATTAGAAGTTGGTTTATGTTATATGCCCCATGCTGGGGGATGGGGAATGAGACTAGGAGCAATCCCAGCCGGCTGCCCCACAGGCTCAGCAAGGAGGTAAGCAGAGCCACCCTCCATCCTCCCAAGCTGGGGGCAGATGGCCCACAGGTGAAACTCTGGCTAGTTTTGGGAGGGTAGTGGCTGACTGGTTGTACAGTTGTGCCACATGGCATCATCCCGTGGCAAAAGTACAGAAACTCTATCAGACGTTCTTGTGGGATAGCGATTGCCTCGTGTAATATTAACTCCTACTTCTGGGGGAGCCTGTTTGCAGTTTGGCTCCTGAATGAGCCTTGCTGCCAAGGGAGAGGAGGAGAGAAGGGAGGAGGAGGAGGGTGGGGAAATGGGAAGCAGAGTTCAGCCCCTGGGAATGTCATGCTGCAGAATTAACTCCGGATGACCTGTATCCATCTATGAGCACTCAGATTAACAAAGCCTGAGCCTCAGAAGCTTCTCTGCACAGTCCTGCTTGAGTCCTAACTGGAATTGTGGGCACCCCTCTATGTTAGTGGCCTTCCCAGGATCGTATGCCAGTTGCCCTCAGTTTTGCAATGAGCTGAGCCATATTATGATTCCTTCCTAGTGCATTTAAGGAGAACATGTGCATCTTCTTGGGGATGTGGCAGGAAGCTGTTGGCAGATGTATAATCTAGCCTGCATCTCTCCTGCATGATGATGGTGTTACTGGCTGGTGGGAAAGGCACGGCCAGCCTAGAGCTCTGGACCGGGCAGCTGTCTTGGTCTGAAAAGGTTTTGTCACCTTTAGGTGACCATAAAGCTGGGTTACCTGGAGCAAAAATACGGTTTGTGAGATGGGACAAACAAAACAGAGCTATTTTTCCCCTGCTCTGGGGAAAGAAGGACCCCAGAGAGGTCTGTTCTACCCCCTCCCACCCTGGGGGCCTGGGAAAAGCTGCAGGGAGCAATCAGCCAGAGGCTCCAGGGGTGGGAGCAGCTGCAGGAGCCAGCAGCCCAGGGGCTGCTGGGTGTGCAGACGCCTTCCTGCAGTTTGACCAGACTTTCTCTTCAGCATTTTAACTGTTTTGCTCTCTATTCCCTCTCTTACAGTGATTCACCTCCTTATTTCCTTTTCTCCTTCAGTCTTTCACTTAAGTGTCCCAGTCCCTTACAGATTTTTTTTCCAGTTTTCCACCCCTGCCCCCCTACCCCCTTCATACCCCTCAACCAAAAAAAACCTGAATTAACAACTGTCGCCAGAAAAAACATCTGCTGTGCTTCCTTCTTTCTCCATCTCCTGCCTGTTGTCTTCTGTTTTCTCTGTTTTAACTCCAGACTTTTCTGAATAAACTATCTATAACTCTGAGTTTGTACTTTATCTAGCAGTCTGGAGTTCCTTTGTAGATTGGCTCTTGGGGAAACTCTCTAGCAAAAACAATTATTGCTAGATAACCATGTGGATTACTTCTACATAAGTAGAAGGTCCCTTAAGTAGCCAAGTCTGCATTAGGAGTTAGATATCTATGACTTTTCTTTCCTTAATTTCTCCCCAAGCCCAAGTTTTCATGTGGCAAATTAAAAGTGCTTCGTAAATGCTGTTCATCCCCGTACCTCATAATGGAGGTCTGTATTCCCATTTGGATATGTCAGAGGGCTCTGCATGATCACAAAAAATACTGTGGTCAGATTTGGGGATAGCTGCTGGGCCTTCCAAGTTACCTGCAGTTGACTGGATCAGTTCTTGAGCTGTTTGCTGCTGTTATCTGAATCTGTGTTATGAATGTGAAGTAACGTGAAATCCTAAATGGCTAGGTTTTGGGGGGTTAGCTATAAAATTTGATGGAGTGACATCAGTAAAATTCCAATAAATTCATCAGTGATCAAGAGCCTTTAACAAAGTGTGACTGTAGACTTGGTTTGAAAACTGACGTGCGGTTCCCCAGAAGAAAGATTCCTCATAATCCTTCTCAAAAATTTCTTCACAGAAGAACAAGTTTGCCAAATTTCCCTTATATGTTCCTGTAGTTTTTAAATAAAAGTACACTAGTGCCAGATCCTTCTCCCACATTTCTACTGTTGACACTGTTATCACACTGCATATACATCTGGATGATCTGATACTCACTAGAATGTGCCAATATCTGAATCCGTGTGTATTTTGTGTTAGTCTGCTCCTAGTGAGCTATATAACTGAAGCTTCCTAATTCCTGGGCACCACTTTTATATAGCATTTAAAAACAAATCACATCTACATCTGTGTCATTATGGCTTTGTGTCATGGACTCACTCCAGATAACATCTGTTACAGTGTTGACACATAATGCATATTTTACAAGCTGTTTAAAAACATATTTACTCAGTGGACTAGAATTGTTTATCAGCACATATTCAGTCCCAGGAGAACGTCTTATTTTCTGTTCAAATTGAGAAGCTAAGGGGAAAAAGAGCAAATTGGACAGTCCAGTGAAAGTGGTGTCCAAATCCGACTCCAATCTACAGACCTACCCTAGAAAAGTTCTCAAGAGTGAAAGTTGTGTGTCAGATGTGATCTGCTGTCCCTTCACTGTCACAGTGAGTTTTGTCTTGGTAAAATGGCATCTTAGGTTTCAGCAAATATATGTCAAATATGTTTTGCCAACAGAGTGAACTGAAGGTGAGACAGGAAGCCTGTACAGGGCAACTAATCTTTCACCTTGAAATGTGTCCCCTCTTATTGAATGAGCAAGTTTAGTAAATCATAGGAATTTTGGTAATGGTTCAAATTTAGCTCTGCTATAAGGTTGCGGAAGCAATCAAAGATGAAGGCAGAGTTGGGTCAGGCAAGAAATACATTTTGGCAAGAAATAAATACAGTCACATTTCTCTGTGTGTTTCTGATACATACCCATGAATGCTGTGAAATTTTCAGGCAGGACTTCAGAGGATGTATACTCTTGTTTGACTCTTCCCTTGTTACTGCATGTAATACCTGAGCCTATGCTTTGCTCAGAAAAAAAAATACCAGAGAAAAGTTTCTTAAATTATAAATGAGAAAAGGAATTGCAATTTCAGGTCTTTTATTCCCTTCTTTCCACTCCGAAAAGGAGACCCGGCTGTTTGCCCATCTCCAGTACTTGACGTTGCAAAACATCTTCTTCCCTTTCTGTGAAATGTGTATTTGGTGAAAACCAAGAGTTTCTGTCATTACCAGGACACTGTTGAAATTGGCGCACCCACAGTTTGTCCTACTTCTATTTTTCTTTGCATCTGTTTAAGTAAATTCTATGTGATTAAAATTGGTGCCCCTTCCCCCATCAAAAACCCAAAAATTTTAATTTCATCCTGGAGCTCAGCTCCATAACTTTCTGAGAAAAATACTGCTTTCTGCAGCAGCACTGGATATCGGAAAACTGGACCTGGGGATAGTTGTTTGGTTTTTAATACCTGAGTATACTCCCGACATGTTGTAATACCACTAGAGCTGAGCATCATATGCAAGTATCAGAAGAAAAGCATGAGAAACAGATCCCAGCTCCAGCTTTTAAGGGGTTCTTAGTGAGAGCATCTGTGGTCTTAGCTGCAAATGAAAGAGAGAAACTTAAAATAACAATGAGTTTACATACAGTTTGCTGTCGTCTGTCCACTGTTAACTCATCCCAGAACTCTGAGTTCACAAATGGAAGGACCTGCTTCAGATTTATCCACTTGCAAATAGTTTCTGGGCTGCTTATATCAGGAGGAGTTTTATTCCGTTTTAAGTGGGTGATATCTTAAATAAATACAGTAAGGCTTTACAAGGAAACATCTCAGAGAATTAAGAACAATGATATGTATTGTGCTGCTTTTGTCCCCTGTAGGTGTGGAGGAGCATTCACTTGACAACTCTCCTATTCTGGATGACAGATCGGCACTTTACTCTGGAGTTCACAAGAAGCAATTCTACTTTGACAGCTCCTGCGAAAAGCAGCCAGAAGACGACTCGGACTCACTTACTACTTCCCCCTCATCCAGCAGTCTTGATACATGGGGAGCTAACCGGAAGCTGGTGAAGACCTTCAGCAAAACTGATAGCCGTGGCCTTATCAAGCCTCCCAAGAAACTTGGGACATTTTTCTCTTACCCAGAAGAGGAGAAGACCCAGAAAGTTTGCCGCTCCTTGACAGATGGGGAAATGAAGAAGAGCCTCGGCTCACTGAGCCATGGGGTAAGTACAGAAAGCATTTGCTTTTATGACAGCAACAGGCACAAGCACCATCTTCTGGTGTCCCTGGAGGAGATTCAGAGTGTAAGGAAGCAGATCCGATTGAAGAAAATGGATACTAACTATTCCTGTTCCAGAGCTTTTCTTTGCCAGCGCCCTGCTAGGAAAGGAGCATCTCCCGCAACTTGCGACCTACAATTACTGCGGCACAAAACGAAAGGGGGTGGAGGTTGTGGCTTCCCAAACAGAAGGCTACGAGGGCGCACTTCTGTCAGCGAGTTCAATATTACCTATGTGGTGGAGAGAAGCCTGTACAGTCACCTCAACCTCTCACAGCTGGTGCGTCCCGTTACTGACAGGACCCTGAGCAAGGCCGACAAGCAGGACCTGAGGAGATGCCTGCTGGAGGAGGATGAGGAGGCCAAGAGGAAGTGGGCTGCCACAGTGGATCGCTGTACTAAAAGGGTTCTCTTGAGAATCCACCAAAAGTCTGTGAGTCAAAGAGTTGCCATGAAGGTGGTCTTCCAGTTTCTATGAGGTTGCAGTCAACACTTTCTGCTTTATACTTTTAACTAAAATTCAGTGCTGCTTCTTTCCTTGCTGTTAGAAACTCTTAAGCACTGTAATTCAGCTGTAAGGGAAGAGTTTGATACAATCCCATTAGAGAAGAGTTTTGTTGAGTCTGCAGTTTCTGTGTGTACAGAATAACTCAATGAGAGAGAGCAAATATGACAAAATGCTGCTTTTTAAATTCACCTAGTGCAAAAATTGAGATCACTGGTGAAGAGAGGAGCTTTATAAAATCATAGAATCGTTTCGGTTGGAAAAGACTTTTGAGATCATCAAGTCCAACCGTTAACCTAACCCTGCCAAGTCCACCACTAAACCATGTCCCTAAGCATCACATCTCCATGTCTTTTAAATACCTCCAGGGATGGGGACTCGACTGCTTCCCTGGGCAGCCCGTTCCAATGATTGAGAACCCTTTCATTGAAAAAAATTTTCCTAATGTCTAACCTAAACCTGCCCTGGCTGTTTGCTTTGAGATGCTATAAACATGTTCTTTGTGATGCTTTGGGAGTCCTTACTCTCTTAAAGGGATACCGAGAGATGAACAAAATTTTCAGAGGACTAGAGCATCCACAATCAACTGTGCTCTATTTCTGTCCTGCTGTCATTGCTTCATATTGGCCCTCCCCTTCTCAGTTTGCATCTCATCAATTCACCCACCCACTCTGTATTCTGTTACACACACACTGCAGAAAGATGGGGAGTTTTACATTATGTAGACACTGCCCTCCTGCTTGCTGCTCACCACCGCCAGAAGTGCCCCTTCTGCTCTGTCCCTGGCCACTGTTCCTTCTTTTTAGCATGGGGTGAAGGTGGCACCTTCCCTCAGAGCGTTGTGGAAAGGGAAAAAGAGGTAACCAAAACAGGAAATTTTGCAGTACAGTGGGAAATTAAGTGATTTGAGCGCTCCAGAGAGATCTAAAGCTGCTTCCTGATTATATGACCAGTTTTGACAGTTCCTTTAACCATGATGCTGAATTTCCTAGGAACTTGCCTTTGGTGCCAACCAGATCTCCAAAGCTGAGCCAGCTAGTCTGTTGTCGACGATGTAGATATGTTGCCTGCTTCAGTGTGTGGAAATGGCACTGAACCCATAGTGTTAATCAAGATATTCCAGTGAACAATACAGTAGAAAGAGCTCTTCCTCTTTTACTACAGATTTTGAGATGTCTGCTTCATTTCTTCAGGTGTGAGGTATTCTCGATGTAAGAGTCACAGCCTTGGTCTCCTTGAATAACCTGTACAAGGTGACCAAGCCTTCATGGTTCACTTTTTGCCACAAAATAGATAGGTTTTTTCTAGCCAATACCATAAACATTCTCTCCTGGCAGCTTCACTATTTCTTCTGCATTGACTGCTTGCCCTGCCACTCACAGGGTACAGTTTATCTTCACAGTCATTGTACTCAAAAGACACATAAGTGTGTTATGGTGATAAGAGAAACCTTACTTGTTCTTCTGTGGATTGAGCAGTAGGGGTATCTCAGGCAAAAGAGCATATTCATATGTGCTGGAGATGCCCCATAATTAAACATACCCTCTAAAACTGTCTTTGTAAAATCAGATGATGGGGAAAAAGCCCTTTTTTTTACTAATAAGTAGCCTCGCTATAGTAGTCACATTATGAAAACCATTTGGACTGACTTTTGCTAATTCACAAGAGATACAAACGGAGAAGAAATGGATAGCTTTGTTGTTGTTGAGGAACTCCACAGTCAAATGCTTCTCCAGCCTTGTTTGAATGGGATAAATGGTGGAGACACGCTGCTCTTGCTACCTTTTTCAACACACTTCTTCCTGAAACCACAAAATGCCAGCAAATTTCAACTAATGCTACTCCTTCCTAGAAACACTTAATGTTTGTTTGCTGCAACCTCAGGGAAACTGCAATGCCTATGTATTCAGTGGAATTGGTCACTCTGTCTTGCCTTGCCATTCATTTTTGTCATTTATATTTGTTTCAGTGACCTGGACATGCATGAAATTTTCAAATCGCATCAGTTTTTCTTTTCTCCCAAAAGGATAATACTTTTGATTGCATGGCCATTCCATTGAATATCCCTCTCCTCATCCACAGACCTTTTGTTTGGTACAGTATTGCCAGGGTCGCCACTGGAATCTGAAGGTGGAACTTAAGTGTTAAATGTATGGGGAGGTCCATAACAAGACAACAAGCATCCTTAATATGCTACAGTCATTCAGAAGCTTTTAACCAACAGATACTTTGCTCTCTGAGAAGACTGCTTTAGGAGGAGCTCTGGCTGGTTTGACAGACAAGTTTGCTCAGAGCAGTTCCAGATGTACTCTCTTCATTGCTGGGATTACCGTACACTGTAGGATTGGTTAGAATGGACTCTTCACAGGACAACATTACTCATTGCTAAACGTGCTGTTCTTTTAAAACTGGTCTTAAGACCAACTTGTGGTTGGTCTCAAATGCTTTCCAAAAACAATTTTTAAAAGCTATGCCATAGTCACATTGCCTTCTGGAAAAAAACACTTAAAAAAATTCTGCATCACAGCACTCTTTAATTTGTGTGGGGCCTAGACAAAACTGGCTTTGAGTTCTAGTAGAGTTGTGGTGTGTACAAAAACTGTCATCCAAGCACTGTAAGTACGCAGCACCCAACATAAAAGATAAAAACCTCCCAACTTCTTAAAAGCTATTAATATGTGTGCTGAGTAGCAGTGAGCCGTCAAGAAGAATGTTTACTTTAATAGAACTAGTTGGTATAATTGTTTATTAAGTGGCACAGTTTATAGAGCTCACTTCTTCCTAATAAGAGTATTCAAGCAGACTGGTAGTCCTCAGGTGGTGGGTCTTCACTGGCTCCCAGTTACACACTCATGGTACTGATTGGGCAGTCCTTTGTAGGTCTGATCTGATGCTTAGCTGAGTCTTAAGGTGTCTTTGAAGTTATTCTGTTGGGTAGTTCAGGCCCTAAGAACTTACGATTCGCAAGTGGTTGATCTTCTGCCTCCTGTTTGTCTCATCTCTATCTCTGAAGAGAATACTTAAAATAGACATCTGCCTGTCTTGAAACCCACACTCAGAGCCCAGAGTTGAAGTTGTGCAAGTAAATTGTAACTGCCATACCTTCATTTCCCTGGATTGCCCTGGGAGACTTCTGGCAAGGCCAGGTACTTGATTACTGTGCAGCTGGTTGTTCAGTGGCCAAATAAGAAGTCAAAGGTTTTACCTTTTGGATTGCAAAGCAAAATCTGGATTCTCTCTGAGCGCCCCAAGTGGCTGGTCTTTTTTCAAGTGATACCAAAGCTTTAGCAGAGATTTATCTGCCACAGTTAAAGAATAGTTGGCTGTGGAAATGCAACTATACTGACTTTGGTTGCCCCCTGCTCTTGGAAGGGAAGCAGTCTCATAGTGCTGATTTTCTTTTTACTGTTCAGGGTCATGATGATAAAATTCATCCGTGCATTCAGCCAAAACTGAGGCACTCCAATAGGTGATTGTGGCACTCTAAACATAGCGTACTTTCTCCCAAAAGTAGAAGAGCTGCCACATATCACCACAGGGGTGATGGTAAATACCTAATATGGAATCAGGGCTTGCTCAGTCTTTGGGGACACAATGCTTATGGATAGCTGGGCTGGTTTTTTCCTCTTCTTACCAAGGGCTTGCCCTACAAGGCCTCTAGCATTTCCCTGTGTTTCAGTGGAAACGGAGTCTATGCAGCTACTCCCAGAAGGTAGGTTATTCAATACTTTCAAAGATTGGTGGTTCTCTGTTTCAGTGCTACCGTGGACTTACTTATGAAGGCAGATGAGAGTGCTGAGATGGAGTTGCCAGCGCCCTGGAAAACTTGATGCATAAGATCAACAGTTTCCTCAGACCATGAAGTCTTTTTTTCTTTTTAAAAAGAAGAGTAGGCAATAGATGACTCAACAGCAGCAGACCTTAGGCCAAGGAGTTGTCTCTGGAAAAGACAAATGACTCAAATCACTTTATAACAGATTTCTTGATTTATAATCTCCCATCCTTTTGTTTGTTTGGTTGTTTCCATTTTTGCAGACATTTGTGTTTTCACTGGTGTTCTCCAAATCACAGATGTTTTGAGTGACCTAATAATTGTGATAGAACTGTATCCATCCTTTTTTTTTTTGCAGAGAACCTGTAGCTTTGGAGGATTTGACTTGACAAATCGTTCTCTTCATCTTGGAAACAGTTCTGACCAAATGGTGAGTTTAAGACAAGAAGGCACAGACTTGAAATAGCATAAAATGAACATGCGCAATGGAGTTATAATAAACTGAAGTGTAATTTAGGTCTGTAATAACAGTTTGGGGATCCAAGAAAGCAGAGTATCTTCGTTAACCTCAAACTTCCTTAGCTTTGAGAATAACACACCCACCCATATCCGTGTGTGTAAAAGTATTTATATACCATATGTGTAAAGAGGCAGGAACAAGTGATCAAAGCGCAGATCTGGGGGCACATCTGTGGGCTATTCTTATGTCTGATTTCCTCAGAGCATCATCCCAGGCAAAACACATGATTGCTATACTTCCTTGGTAAAAATATTTACTGTTTGGAATGGTGAGGCAAACTTTCATTTGCTGAAGATCTGCAAGTTATTTGGGTGGAAGTCATTATGTAAGAGATTTATTATTTGTTTTCTCATTGTATCTAAGAGCTCTGGAATAGACCAGGATCCCATTGTGCTGGGTGCTGCGCAATTGATCTCAGAGGTCTTTGTGTTTATAAAAAAAAAAAAACCAAAAAAAAACTACCCCTGAGAATTAATTCCATTTTATGTTACTCATGTTGATCCCAGTGTTACTATTGGTCAGCCTGCGGCCAAAAATAACAGAACAGAAATGAGCTAGAACATTATATTAAATGAAATTGCCAACATTTTTTTTCCTTTTGCCCATGTACATTTTTCTTTTCTGTTTCAACATTGGGTCTGATAACTCCTCTGTTCACTTAAATCAAGTCTAAATTGTGAAACATTTTATATACCAGCATTATATTCTTTTTTGTCAGCTGGGTTTTTTGGGGTTGTTCTTGGTTTTCTGATTATTCTTTTTTTTTAACATCATAAAATACCCCTAAATTGGCCAAAATTGTGGGTGGCTGTTTTATTCATGAATTTTCAACTCAGTAAAAAAGTTAACTTCCGAACATACAGTGTTTGTCTTTAAACATAGATACTTTGGCATATTTTGTTCAGATTGGTTTTGGTATAGGGAAGTGCGAGACCTAGATGTTACATTTTTCCCTACCAGGATCAGGAGTGGGAGAGAAGCAGTATACCATAATAATGTATGCAGATCAAGGTTTTTTCCTTGAAAATGTTTAAGTCCATTAAGTGGAAGGGTTTTTTTTTCCAAAAAGATAATACAAAGAGCTGTCATTAATTTCTACTAAAAGACCAAAAGTTACAAAAGAAGTTGTAATCACAAACAACTTGTAAAGGAAAAAATACAGAATTGACAGAAATTAAGTATGAAATTATCAGCTGAATTTCAGAGAAACTTAGTAAAGCAGCAAACATACATAAATTCAGGAAAAAAGATAAATCTTTTATGTAGAATATAGTGTACACTTATTTTAGGGTTTGTTACGTAAATTGTTCTCAGAAGGATTATTGAACCAAGTCAAAGACCAAATGCAGTACTCAATCTATTTGGCCAAACAGATTTTGGTCCTTTTTGCATTGTGATTTTTGGTGCACCCTTGCCAGTGGAGGGTGCTGGTAGTAGCTCTAATAGAGCTGCCTTGCTGTGGTTCCTGACACACTGTAGAACGAAAGACTGCGTCTAACATGCTGCCTGGACAGTCTGAATAAGGGCTGAGTCACACAAGTAAGTTTGGCGAAATGTCAACTGATCCATGTTAATTCTTTGTGTGTGCTTATGGCATCAGTAAATGCTAGGTATCTGAAGCTGGTTTAGAAAAGGTTAAACATGTTCAAAGCAGCTGGCCTTTGTCATCCACTATATATGGACCAGCTAATTTAGTTTGGCAGTACCCTGTTGTGTGTCTTAAGAATAACTGTGCAAGTGTAACCTTCTACCATGGTCGATGGATTTAGCGGCTTTTTCTGCCTTTTTTTATAAACAATCCACAGTAAAACCACAGAGATGGTCATCAAGAGATGTTAACTGAGTGCCTGTCTGAAAATAAAAAGTAAATTTGGGTAGCCAAATGTAGGTATCCATATATATAGGCACAGATATATATTTGGCTAGGATCTCAGAGGTACTTTTACTCCTGTTAAACTGTGTGTAGTATTGACCAACATGAACCACAGCTGCTTTTGTATGTCCTGTGAAGAGGGCTTAGCCTGAAACCATGGAGTTTTCTATCAGGTCAAACACTTACCTGAAACTGAAAGGGATAAAGGCATCCTAACAGACCCCAACACATCTTACATGCAGTGCCTGCAGAAAAGGTTACAAATCAGGCCTTAGGAGTCAGGTACAGTGGACGGCTACAGTGGTTTGCACAAAGTCTCGACAGTGAATATAGAGCAGTAGCAGGACACCATGCTGCTGTCCTGCATCTGCCTGGATCCCTCTGCAATGACTGCCGATGGAGGAGAAAAATGGTTCTTGTATTTTATAGACTTAAACCCTGTTTTATTTTGCAGGGCAAGGAAGGAGACTTTGTTTATAAAGAAGTGATCAAATCACCCTCTGCCTCCCGTATATCACTGGGCAAAAAGGTGAAGTCTGTAAAAGAAACCATGAAGAAAAGGATGTCTAAAAAATACAGCAGCTCTCTGTCTGAGCAGGTATGTAAGGTCTGCATTGGAATCCACTTAATAGTCTAGAAGTGATAATCAGTATTGATTCCCACGCTTCAAGGCATCTCTGAAGAAATTTCTAACAAGACTATGCGCTGTGGCTTATTCCTATGTTCTTATAAAATCCCTCACTGTGAAATAGCTTCCTATAGATGCCAAACCGTGAAAATGTGTTTTCAGATTTTCGTTCAAGTAGCTCATCAGCAGAAGCCTGTGGTTTGATGACATTACACATCTCACTCTGTATTTCCATTTCTTTATCCATCATCATTATTTATTAAGGGAACTGCTCTGTGACTCAGGGTCACAGTAATATATTTAATCTGCAATTTACATCTTAGTTTAAATTCCCAGCATAACTTCACGTACGCAGTTTCTCTCTGCTATTACAGATCTTTTCCCCATCACAGCTTGCCCTCTGCAGCAGCCCATTAAAGCAGATGTCACCGTGTAGTCGGAAAGAGGCATCCCACAGAAGATTTTCCTATTATTTTTTCATTACAGATTTGTATAGCTTATTCTTAAAGGCAGGCCTGAAGTACATTAGTTGTAAATTAGGCTTTTGATTTCAGTGGCCTTAGGAACAATTGCTGTCTTTTTCCCTTTTGGTATACTCTGGGTCCTTGCTTTGATGGGGTGTCAAAAAACCTTCCACATTTGTTTAAAGCCAATCTTGCCGCTGGAAATGTGTAAGAAGCTTAGAAAGCCTCCGGGAGAGCAGAGCTCTCCGGCAGACATCGCCCCCAAGTGGCCTCCCACCGGCCGCGGGACCGCCGGGGATGCTTGCAGCCCCAGAGAAATGGAAATGGAAAGGGAGTCATCTGCTTTTTGGTATTAATGCAAAGCGTCGGTGCCTGTAAAAGGAGCAGTCCATAAGATTCAAAACAGCAACCCCAAACTGCAAAATCTGGAGGCAGCATAGAGAGGCAGAAAAGTGACCGTTTTTATGCAGTGCTTTGCAACATGAGAATCCCTTTCCTGTAGGACTATCAGCCATACTTATTCATAACCAGGGGCAGCACTACAGTTACGGTTATTTAATGTAAACTTACAGTTAAAACCTTTTAAGGTCTAACATGATTTGATGTTGATAAGAAGATGCTTTGGTGTCTGACTGGCCTTCCAGTGCCCCTCTGCAAAGTGTGCCTAAGAAAGGGGTACTCTGAGACATCGGTTTACAATGAGTTAGCAATACTTCTGCTCTCTAGCTCTCTCTAAGATTGACTTGACCTCTGAAGTCATATGCTGGGATGACTTTTTTTTCTGATTGTTCTGCAGCATGCAAATAATAGCTTTCATCTGAAAGCTTTATGACCACACATCTCCACAAAAAGTCTTCTTGTATGCAAGCTACAGTTCTTTTTGTTTTCAAATTTTTTGGCACAGTTGTTTTAGAATATTTGTACCTTTCTGGCATCATGACTCAAACTATGTGCCAGTATCTCTGCATTCAAAAAAACAAGCAAAAGCTATTCTGGCCACAAGTATCTGCTGCTTTGCTCTAACTGTGATTCACAGAGGCTGACAGAATTTCAATTTAGTAAAGACCGTTTTTGATTTCCTGTAATGCTTGACTGAATGAAAAGAAAAATTGCCTCACCTATTGCACATGTAGCAAAATCTTTTTATATTTATGCATTTATGCTTATGAGTATTTATACTATGCACAGGCTGCATTTTCTGGTTAATTCTTTTTCTTCAAGGTAGAGGAGCAAAGGTATCAACAATTCACTGCAAAAAAAAAAATTGTATGTTGCTGTGTGTCTCACTTGCATTGTCTGATTTGTTTGTATTCATCTTTGTACAAAATCCTGATTCAAAAAGCTGAATTTGGCGTTGGCTGTTTTGCGAGTACTGCTGGCAAAAATACCATATGTCATTACAACTTTTGAGTTGGGAGTTTTGTGTAATGTTTCTTGCTACTTGCAACACTGGCTTTTTCAGACTGGACTGTTTGCTCCTGTCCCCGCTATCATGCCTAATAAAGTGGGGGTTCTGCCACAGTTGAGTACCACAAAAATAAGTAGATAAACGTAGAGGGTTTCATCATGCCTGGTAAAGAGCAGGAAAACAGAATCTCTTTCCTTGGAGATGAACGAGCAGCTCCTGTCAGTGCCTATGTTCATTTTCCAAACTGAAATGGTTCAATCCCTTTCAGGAGTCCAGCCCTGGGGTCATGCCGGGTTCTCCGCAGTCACCACCGCCAGACACTGACTCCCTGGACAAACCCAAGCTGAAAGCCGGTGGCTCAGTAGAGAGCCTGAGGAGTTCCTTAAGTGGTCAGAGCTCAATGAGTAAGTTTGGTTGTAATTGCGTTTTTCCATTTCTGTGGCTTCAGGGAGCAGAGATCTCCACAGTAAGCAGAATCAGAGAAAGTCAAGGCAGAAGCAGTGGTTAAAAAGTAGAAAGGCTGATGGGTTAGTCATTAAGGGTTTACAAAGAACCATAAGCTCTTTGGTGCAGAGACGATATTTTTTTGCTTTGTGTTTATATAGAGCCCTAAAAAGTGAAATCCTGCTTTCTGACTGGGTCTGCTGGGTCCTCCTATTATAATATAAATTATTGGAGTGACAATTACAATCCTTGGACGGTACTAAGCAGGCTTGTCTTTACACTAGATTTCTCCTGGGCACCCCTGATGGGCTTCCCACCCTGCCTCGAGAGAGAACTTGAGGTTCTCTCATTAACTGGTTAGAGTAGTATTATTTAAAACTTCTCTGGTTAAGATTGTCTCTACACAAAACAGAGCTTAAGTGGGACACAGATGGTGTGAACTTGCTTCACTGTGGATTACTGACTAATAGCAACCAAGAACATATTGGGGGAAAAAAAACTGAAGAGCAAGCTCCATTTTTAAATGACTGAAAGTGTGTTCTGAAAATCATCTCTTTTTTTCTTTTTTCCTTTTTTTGTTAATATCAATACAAAGTGTTGACATAAAACAAAATTTCTAGACATGAGGGGGATTCTGGAACCCTCATGCAGGATTCCAGAGGTTTTTCTCCTCACACTGCTATGCTTTTTTGTGGGCAAAACTTCTGAGAAAGATGACATCTCCTGTGATGTACCATAGATGAGACACTAGTTAAACAGCTTCTCAGTTAAATATTGAGGAGCTGAATTTGGTAGAACAGGAGAGCAAAGTAAATTCACTAACTCTCCCTTCACATGTGTGTATAAGAAATAGCAGCATTGAAGGACTTTTAACGTTGATTACCAGGTTTTGCAGAAAGATGACGCTCTTTCTGTCTTGCCTTTGTTTGTTTCTGAACCTTCTTCACAAAGGGATTCTTTCCTGTGGACTGCTACTATGTCTCTCACACAGGTGGTCAGACAGTGAGCACAACAGATTCCTCAACCAGCAACAGGGAGAGTGTGAAATCAGAAGATGGTGATGATGAAGAGCCTCCTTACAGAGGACCTTTTTGTGGAAGAGCCAGGGTTCACACTGATTTTACTCCAAGTCCATATGATACAGATTCTCTGAAGCTCAAGGTACCAGCTATGTCTGTTTTTTAAGGGGTTCTACACTGATTTTGGCAAAATTCTTAATTAAGAGCTCTTTGCAAGAACTCTACAATTCTTAGTCTTGTAATGAGTTTACATGTGCTTTTTGAAGCCCTTTAGCCTGTCTGATTTTGGTATATTTAAGATTTGCTTAAATTATAACAAAATGTTATAGAACATAAGTAAGTATTAGCATTTCTCCACATCCAGGGAAAGACACTCGCATATTCCCTTTCTGGAAAAATAAAAATGTGCCACAAATTCATTTCCATTTTGTTGGAAAGATTGGAAAGATACTTTGTCTGCCACAATGAATTAATACATCAATGGGAAAATTTTCAAAATCCTTGGAAGAAATGTGGATCCACCTACACAGAGTGTCTTTTAAAGGCATTTCAGTTAATAAAACTTGTTTTAAGCTAATATTGAATTACTTTGCTGACTGTGAGTTGTCACCCCTCTTTAATTTTTCTGGGTATCAGCTTTTATTATTTTTAGTTGTGCTGTATTCAATTCAAACTATCTGACTCCTTACATTCATTACTTAAAATTCTGTCGGCAGCTAATTCCTGTTAAAGCAGATGTACATAAGGTAATCTCTTTAAGGATACAAAAGCAGTTGTGCGACCATTTCTTTCTTATGGTCAGGAGCACATTAGGAAAAGCAAGTGTTGCACAGTTCCTTCTGCATACGCCTTGCTTCCTCAGGAGATCTGATGTGAGATTATGCCCATGTATGCTGAGCGTGTTCTTACTCGCACCAGTTTCAGGTAGTTGCACAGCTTTGTACAAAGCAGCAGTGATGCATTATTGGGGTGTAAGCAGGCTTGTGAGTCTGGACAGTTGGGGTCCATATCAGGTTCTTTTGTTGACTTGCTGTGTGGTCTTAGGCATGTTACTTAATTTCCTTTTCTTCCATTTGTAAAACAAGCATAATCAGATGTTTTTGCAAGAGCTTGGGTTAACCTTTTGAAAACTAAAGTGTTGTCCATTCTACGTATATGAAAATCTAAGGCAAAGTGGGTGTGTTTGCTTGAATATCCATCAGAAAACATTCCTAGATGACTTTCTTGCTTCTTTGTTCTGTAGAAAGGTGACATCATTGATATAATCAGCAAACCCCCCATGGGCACTTGGATGGGCCTGTTGAACAACAAAGTTGGCACTTTCAAATTTATCTATGTGGACGTGTTAAATGAAGAGGAAGAGAAGCCGAAGCGGCCCACCAGGCGACGTCGGAAAAGCAGACCGCCCCAGCCCAAATCAGTTGAGGATCTCTTGGATCGCATCAACTTAAAGGTCCAAATTCTGTTTACCCTTCAGTTCGGCTTGTGGAAAGGGGGCCACACCTTTGGAGTTGTTAGTTGTGAGAGCTGAACACCAGATTCATAATCCTAAGGATCATGACACTGCTTAGCAGAATCGGGTCTTAGCTGCAGAGTGAAAATAGCTGAGGCCAGGCAGAACGGCCTGCCAGGCTTGATGAAGTGCTGCAGGCTGCAAGTTGTATGCCCTCAGTGACCGTAAATCATTGCATGGTATGGCTACTAGCTAACACACTTCAAAAGCAAGCAAAAAGTGTAAAATAACAATAGTTACCCTGTCTTTAAAGAGGAAGTTTTTTTCCATGTTTCTGTTCAGAAGAGCTAGGGATAAACTGGTGCAGCTGTCGTTCACCCTCTGTACTTCTCCCTTCCTACAGAGCTGTGCCATATTGTGTACCCGGGTAGCATGCTACCCAGGCCATTTAATACAGTGCATTCCAAACACAAAAATATGTGCAGCATTCTAGTTCTGGCACAGCTACCTCCTTGAACTCTGAGCAATGTTTATACAACCTATAATCCTATAATTTTGCTGTTATACAGTGGTTTGCATTTGCTAAACTACTGCTTTTTCCCCTGGTTGTGAAAAATCTCTTCTGGTATCTTTATTGACAAAAGAAGTTGAATAAATACATTGTCTCACAGATCTTTTTTTTTTTCTTTTTTTTTTTTTTTTTTTAATTCTTTTTATGCAGGAACACATGCCCACTTTTCTGTTCAATGGTTATGAAGATCTGGATACCTTTAAGCTTTTAGAAGAAGAAGATTTGGATGAACTGAACATCCGAGATCCTGAGCACAGAGCTGTTCTCCTCACAGCAGTGGAACTTCTACAGGAGTATGATAGTACGTGGGATGTTTGAGGTTTTCAGTTTTACTAGAGCTCTGCCAAGAACCTTGTGAGGTTTTTAAAGTGGAAGACTGGTTCCAGGATTTTGATCTTTTTTTTTTTTTTTTTTTTCCTAATCTAGTTATTTCCAGGGTAATCCTGTGTAAAAACATGTAGATTTTTGAGGAGTGACTTAAGACTTGCATTTGTTCTGCCAGAATCCTTTTGTTCATGTAAGCCCTGATACCCAACTTACTCGAGTGATGTCAACCATATACCTTTTAGAATATTGATGTTCAGGAATAAATCCTGAGATTACCTACTCAAAATAAGAAGCCAAGGCATGGAGAATAGGAAAGAAGAAGCTTCTAGGCTAGAGGGAAGAGATTGAGGTTATCAAGGGTAAGAAAAAGATGAAAGCTCAGAGGGCTGTGGGGAAGGGTAACATGAATTAAACTTTCTCTTATTTTACGTGCACATGCATTCACAGTCTTGGACTGTGAATTGCAGGGCTGTACAGGTAGCTTCAGGTTGTACACATGACAACACAGTGATTCTCAACGGGAGAAAGTGTATCAGTGCAAAGAGTGAAAGACAGTCACCCAGCTATCTAAGGTGCAGCAATGCAATTCTGCCCGTTATACAGATGGTCTCAGGCAAGTGCTTGCAAAGATGAGGGAAAGCAGAGTAAGTCATGGCAGTCAAATTTGATGGTGTCTTTGCCACACAGGAGGAAGCAGGGCTGTACCATCCATGCAGCAGTCATGGTAGAGTAGAATAATTTTAAAAGCAAGTGTAGCTCAAGACAGGAATTTAGATGCGCTCAATACCTAGTTGCAGCAACCTAAAACAGTACTGAATCTCCCCTTCGTCCCTAAATGTCAGCAGAAATTTAATATCCCACTGAGCAGAACCAGTGGAATGGATGGTGTGAGGGCTTTCTCAGCCGCTTCTGTGCAAAATCCCATGTTTAAGCTTAAACTGCAACAATTTAAACAGCTGCTTATTAAGTGGCCAATGCTTAATTCTGTTATAGAGAGAGAAGCGTGATTAGTATCTCTAGACAGTGCTGTGTGGCCTGAGCTTTCACTGACATGTAGCTTTCTTGTTCATTTCCCTTCCCAAAGAGGCATCCACACTTTCTCCACCCTCTACCCCACAATAAAAATGCAGTTGCAGAATTAGATTTTCACTTGTATCAGAGTAGCTTTTTGTCACCTAATATGAGATTCTCTTAATTATTTGCAGACCTGGTTAGAATGTTTACTTCCCTGAAGTAATAATTTTTCTTTAGGGACCTTCAATTTTGGTTTGAAAACTTGAGTAACTATGTGATGTGGTAGCTGGAAAGTATAAATTCCAATTCCAAGTCAGAGTGACGAGGAGAAAGAGAAGTGGGGATGAGACAGCTGGAACCTGGGAGGGGCAACAGCACTTAGTTCCACCCCATAATTACCTTTCATGTGCTGAGAATAGGAATTGGAATAGCCATTTCTGACATTTTATTGCAGGGGAAAAAAAACACAGCATAAACTGTATCCTTGCATCATGAAGTTGGCTTTCTGTATCTTCAGCTCCAGATTTAGTTTCTTTACAAAATATGATAGCTGACCAAGCATTCCGGGTAAATTCCTGGAATCCAGCCTATGCAGCCTGGATGGACCACACTTGAGTGTGGGCTCTCTGCACAGGCCAAGAAAGGAGGGAAGAATTTTTACCACTAGTCTCTCCCTTGTGCCTTCCCCTCCTCGTTAGGGGAGAGTATCTAACTTTGCCAGCCCCACTCCTGATCCTTCTTCTTGGTCCCTTCTGGAAAGTAGATCAGGGTTAGGATTTTATTCTTTTTTACGTGATTTGGTTCTTTTCTGTGCTTTTTGCTTTTGTTTTGGGTGTTGGGGTTTTTTTTAAGTCTTAAAAAGAACTTTGACACCATAATTTTAAATAAATTTTCATGTTTGTAGGTTGCAGAACTTGGCCCCAAGGCAGCTGAGGCACACACGCAGTCCATTCTGCTTTCATTATGTACCATACTGCTCCCTCACACTCATGAGGCTGTTGCTAATTCCAAAGGGGATGAATGTTTCCAACATTTATGATGGCTGTTCCTGAAGCTCACTCTTTTCTAAACCAATGATCTGATACAATTAATACAACAGGGCAGATCAGAGAATCAGAGAATCATTTTGGTTGGAAAAGACCTTTAAGATCATCAAGTCCAACCGTTAACCTAACCCTGCCAAGTCCACCACTAAACCATGTCCCTAAGCATCACATCTACACGTCTTTTAAATAGCTCCAGGGATGGGGACTCGACCACTTCCAGGGATGGGGACTCGACCACTTCCCTGGGCAGCCTGTTCCAATGCTTGACAACCCTTTCAGTGATTAAATTTTTCCTAATGTCCAATCTAAACCTCCCCTGGTGCAACTTGAGGCCATTTCCTCTCGTCCTGTTGCTTGTTACTTGGGAGAAGAGACCAACACCCACCTCACTACACCCTCCTGTCAGGCAGTTGTAGAGGGCAATAAGGTCTCCCCTCAGCCTCCTTTTTGCCAGGCTAAACACCCCCAGTTCCCTCAGCTGCTCTTCATAAGATTTGTGCTCTAGACCCCTCACCAGCCTTGTTGCCCTTCTTTAGACACACAAGGTAATGGTGCTGGAAATGGAAGATTGAGAAGTTCAGATGGATTTTCTGTTTGCCTGTTTTTCATTGTATTCTCGCATCCTCTAGGTAACAGCGACCAGTCAGGATCTCAGGAGAAACTTCTCATTGAAGGCCAAGGCCTAACCGGATGCTCTCCTCGGGATTCTGGCTGCTATGAAAGCAGTGAAAACCTGGAGAATGGTAATGGTCACAGCAATGAGCTTTATAATCCCTGCAACCTTTTTTCAGTAAATAGCTTCATGTACTTTCTGCTCCTGTTCCTAGC